TTGATTGATAGAAGAAATAACCCAACTGAAGGTGGAGGCAGAAGGTGTTTGGTTAGAAAATGCAAATGAGTCAGAAAACAAAAATTGATTAGGTCAGTCTGTGACTGGACAGAATTATCACACTAGTGGTACAGTCAGAATTTCTGACTGGAAGCAGAAGGGGGTGGCAAATCTAGTGAGAAAATTGATCAGAGACTTGACTGAAGTTCATTTTCTAGAGTATATATAGTCAGACAACTGTTATTAGACAATTGTATTAGTTATTTGCATATTTATTGTGCTGGAGTTTGGGGTGATTTAGATTAAGGAGTAGTTATGTCCAGCTTATCACTCTTGGCACCATTCTGGGGTCAATTCTGACTAAATTATTTAAGTCCTGATTCTGATTAATGGTTGTTATTTAATTTATATTAGGCAAGTCCCATCTTTATACTCAGGAACCTTAACTGATGGTAAGTAATATATTTGCTCTGTTGCATTCTCCCTCAAGAAAAATGCAACACAGTTATCACCTGGAGCTTGTTAGAAATACAGACTCTCAAGTCCCACCCCAGACTTAGGGAATCAGAAATTGCCATGGAATATAATTGGCGAGGAGTATCCTATGTACATAATAGCTTGATAAGTGGCCATATCCTATATCCCAGGTCCTGACTGATGCTTATTCAAGCAGGATCCAGAATGCATGTTCTTACATATTTCAAAAATCATGACTTTTAGCATTATCTTAGGACATTTGTTTTTTAGACATCATAATGGACGACATACATATGACAGAAATAAGGGAGGGTTGTAACAGGCAGCAAGAAGAGATGCAAGGTTTCCATGATAGATGACTAAAGACCCCCAAATCAAGGCAGTGCATGGTGTGAGCTCCAGGGGTGGCCTAATTAAAGTTTTACAGGGATGTAGAAAGGACAGCACCAGTCATTTCAGTCATTTCTTGAACAGAGAACATTGTGGAAGAAGCATCTGTGTCAATGGTCCTCAGAGAATGGATATGAATTCCAAATCAGAGGCTATCAGGGGAGGCATCCTGAGCAGAGGGAGCCAAATGAGTAAGAAGCACAGGCTGGAAAATATTAGCTGTGTTCAGAAAACAGGGGGGCATCCAGCCTGGTGGAGTGCAGAGCGGTGGAGTCAGAATATCTGCAAACAGGCAAGAAAGGGCACCTGGGCACCAGACATAGAAATTATGACATTTGTAACTTACCAGTGAGTTAGGATTCATATAGTACCCAATGCTGAGCAATTATTGCAGGTGACTTGTGGAAGCGGGAAGTGCCAGTATTGGATGCAGTGGAAACATGGTCTTGGAATGATGATAGCAAAGAAAAGAAAACCTTGCACATGTGGGCATTGCCCTGCTTAAATGCTTCTTACTCATCTTTTACTAAAATGAACAAAACCAAAGCAACATTTTACCTGGGCGAAGAGTACAGTTATAAGAAAGTGTATGGAGGATTCTTGCTGTCTTGTGCATATAAATAATGCTTTGCATTGACCATAAACCTGAACAAACACATTTACTTTATGACATGGAAGAAGAGTCTAAGACTTAAAAAAAACAAAATCCAAATTGAACATTTTATTTTAAGTTGTGAAAAGCTGGAGGACTATTCTGGTGGCTTTGACTGTGGAAACCACCAGCTGATTATCAAGCAGTTTAACCTACTTCTGGGGCACAGCCAGACCTCATTCCCCATGCTCCTTCCTGGTCCCACGTGACTGGGCACAACTGATTGTAACACAGGAAGGTGAGCGGAAGTGACTGTAACCACTGCCAGGTCGGGCCCATGAAGACCTCCCCTGAGCCATCTGCCCTCCTGCTGCTGGTTTCTTTGCCAGAGCTGAGGCAAATGTGCTGGTGACCCCAGAAGCCTGGAGTAGGAGGTGGCAGAGTCACAGCCACAAAGCAGAAGGACCTCAGGTCCCCTAATCACTCCTGGAGAAAACGACTTCTTGATCACACATTTCTATTTTGAATTTCACATGAAAAAGATACAAACTTCTGTCATGTTGGACTCAGTATACAATTTTAAGTCTATTGTTATCACAGCTAGTGCGACCTTAACAAGTATACAATTTCCAGCAGGGTAAATAGATTATTTGCTTATCAAAATCAGGTGGTACAGTTTGACAAATTGAATATATAATTAGAAAATACATCTAGATCCAATAACTTCCTTGTTAACGTAATCCTGCACTCATATTATAAGCTTTCTATTGACAAATGGAAATAAGCTCAGCATGTTGAGAATAAACTGACTTTATTTTTAAGCCTCTCCATGGTCATCATTAAAATGATTAATTCTGAAGGCCTTTAAATCTTTAGGTTATTTGATTCTGACAAATCCATCCAGTGTTATTGATTCTGGCAAATCCATCCATCTCCCTCAATCACCCAACAGTTTTCCTTAAACACACAACAGAGGACTTCACCTCAGAACTTTATCTCACAAGTTAAACAGTGGCTTAGCATCTACAGGATGCCACTTTTCATTCTGGTTTCATAATTCCAAAGGGACCCTCAGAAACCCTCAGAAAATGAGTTAAACCATTTTTTTTATAGAACTAGAATGAGCACAAGGCACCATGTTCAGGTGATTATAAAGAGTGGCATTTAAAAAGATGATTACCCTAACAACCTTCATCCCATACACAGAGGACACCTCTTTTCTCCCCTGAGCCCCTGGACACAAGCACTTACTAATTCATGCAGTGATCTCCCTCCACAGTTCTTCCAAGGTTTCCTGCTGAGCACGTGGCAGTCAGTCTCTAACACGTCTAGGGTGAGATAGTACACAGCTGCTGGTCCGTCCTGTAGGCAGAGGTGGAGAAAGCAACCACATCCCACATGAGCAGCAACCCCTACAGACTGGCCACTGATGTCTCTGTTTTATAGCAGAGTCAAGGCTAAGATGCCTGTCAAAACTTCTCATCACATCTGCAATACTAGACAGGGTAGCGATTAGCTTTGTCTCTAGTGACAGTGAGAGCATTGCAGACACCCTGGCAGAGGAGAGCAGAGCTGTTTAGCAGCTTCCAGTTTGGAAAGCACCGGCAACATGTGTCCCTGGTCCCCAGCCCTGGCCAGCCCAGCGAGCACCTGCCCGGGTAGGGGACCATCACTTGCCTGTCTGTGTTCACGGACATCGCTAACTCGGTTGAGGCTTACTTAGCACGTAGCCATCCTTGCGGTCCCTGTTGATGTCCCTCAGGACAAAATTAGCAAATGACAGCACATCTGAGTCATTGCAGCCCCGGGAGAGTAAAGGCGATGGGTTGAAGACTTGCTGGGTGGAGATGTAGCCCCAGAGCCCACAGCCAGGGCGCAGAGCACCAGGGGCAGGAGCAGACCCATAGTGTGGGGAGCAGATCCCAGAAGGCGGCAGTGCAGGCAGCTCTAAGGACGAGCTATTTATAAGGCTTTCAAAGGTCAAGTCAAACAGTTTCGTAATTTGAGTCCAATCTGGTGACCAGAGTTTGAATTTTAAATTTTATATTTCTAAGTCAGTATTGGATGGTTTTGCCAGTATTTCTAACTTTAGATCTCCCCATCAATCCTACCTAACCTAATCGTGTGTGTATGTGTGTGTGCGTGTGTGTGCAAACAAATTTAAGTTTTTTAATATTTGCCCATGAAATCATAATAAACACCTGTGTCAAGTCTCCTTGGTGGTGATTGGATTCTGCTGTGTCCAGGGATCCACCTGCATCAGAATATGCAGGATTCTCACACCCTCCCTGGCCCCTTGCACCTCCCTCCAGCTGAAATCCTCAGCCACGCTCAGACATGAAACAGCTTGGGGCCCTGGTGCCAGTGGTTATGTTACAGGGCAGGGTGAGGTGCATCCCAGACCCCGCAAACCTGCCTGCTTTAAATAGGTTCTGCCATCTGCCACATCAACACAAAACATATGAGACTTTAATGGGAAGGAACTTTAATACAATTAGGAAACAATACAGGAAAGGCAAAGAATATAGTTCTAAATCAAGCACCAAAGTTACCCATCCCTCGTGGGTAAAAGTCCACCCAAGCAGGATTGGCCCAGAGCAAGGCCCAAAGCCTGTCATAAGTCAAAAGCACCTTCCAGTGGGGACGCACAGAAAAGTATCAGAAACAAGCAGACAGTCTGGAGGGAAAAGAGCAAAATCAAAATCAAGACAAAACCCGCCATTGTCACCTCCCCACGGTGTCTCACCCACATCTGTTTTAATCAGTCCACCACCAAAAGGCAAGTGTAGTTTCTTCACTGTCTCTCGGCTCCATGTGCCTCCTTCAGGTCTGCTTCTGGCTCCATCCTGCTTCCTTCCTTCCTCAGTCTCCTATGCAGCTTCTTCTTTCTCTGCTCAGCTCCACCCTCCCTTGGGGTGGGGCAGAAACTTGAAAGCTCTCCCTTTCTTGGGACCACCCTGTTGCGGTTACAAGTGTTTTCACACTGCTTGAGAAAAGAGTCAGAAATGGAGTGAAGCATCTAGATTGGAATATCATGGAAGTGTAGTCCATGGATCTGTGTCCTGCGCCCCCCACTTCATACTTCCTCCCACCCCTGTCCCCAGTGGTCTTTGCTTAGGTAAGTATAGCCCTTGCTGCACCCACAGAAGCAGGATCTAGGATGGTTTCTCATTCATTCGCACGTTAAAGGTATCATCTCAGATGCCTTGAGGGGAAGAAACCTATTTTAGACCACCATTTCCTACATTTACTTGACTATAAACTAGGTATTTGCCATGAACCATAAAACACAGTATTGGAATTGCTGCACTAGCAGATAAGTAGGGATCATTCTCATTGAGGTTTTCCATAATAAACTGTTAGGGGGAAAAGGCTGTCCTAAAGCTAATTCCATACAGGCTTTGTGGACTCCACCCCCACCCCAGGCCAAAGCCAAAGACACTGGGAACTCCAAATCCCATCACCACCAAAGGGAAGGTGGCTTGGACCTGAGGGTGGGGTTAAGCAGCCAGGTTGGTATAAAGCCAGACATGGGGGCTTTGGAGGGATCTCCCATTTTGACACTCCGCCAGCTCACAGCGTCTGGCCAGCTCGGAGACTGCTTTTGGGTTTCCAGTTCGGCGGATCGGATAGGACACATTAAAGACTTTATTTCCCTATTTTCTCCCTGAGTTGTACATTTTCCTTCTTTCCTTTTCCCTTGTAAATAAACCTTGTATTAACCTTTTGTTATGCCTGCAGTGGAGTATTAATAAGTCCCTTTTAAGCACGCGGGTGAGGACCCACAGCCAGGCAACCCGTTCAATATCGGGGCTGCCCTATAACAATTTGATAAACCTGCTCTTGAAAACCCAATCACGGTGTTGTAAATTACTGGTGATAATTGTCTTAAAGGTAAATTAGTCAATCACCTCTGAATGTAGTTTAATAAATCCAAGTGGCCCATTTCCCAGGTGAGAAAACTGAGGGTGGAAAGGAAGCATGTCTAAATAAAAATCATGAATGAAATAGTTACAGAACCAGGACAGAAATCTGCTCGTGTTAACGCTGTTCATCAGACCAAATATTAAACCTCTAGCCTGATTGTAACTCTTCAATTATCCACAAAAGTACTTGGAAAGTCACATAACTACTATAAGCCTCAGTATCTAGATCTGTAAAATGGGTTTATCATATCATAGCACCTTCCTCATAGGAGATTCTGTTCAGGGAGGGCCAGACCCACACGTGTCACACAGTGACAGCTGTGCTACA